CATTTGAAAAAATTTAGGGGATAGCACCCCCACTTAGGGGGTTGAAGATTTTGGTATGCTTTTTGAGCCAAAAGTTGCCCCCCTCAGAAACAAATTTGACCTGTTTTTGGATTTTGCCGAAAAATTCTTTACTACCCTGTAATGCCTTGCGGTACGTTTCCGATGGGCTACCCTGTATAAATAAGGCAATATTTTTTGAATAATGAAAAATACGTTTTCAACTTTTACCATACATTATTAAAAAAATACGCATTCTAAACCGGTCTAACTTCAGGATCGTATGAAAAACACTAAAACAAAACTAATTGTAAAGGGTCTGCGATTAATTTTAATTCTGATGGAAGTGGTACAGCATTTACTGCTCATTTTTCCTTAAAAAATATGAGCAACCCATCTGTTTTTGACGATAACTTCTTCAATTTTGCTCTAATTAACTTTTATAAATGCTATGTTGAAGGTCTTTTTGAGTACTGCAAAAAACTCCAGGAGCGTTATATACGTAAAATTAATCCTTTTTCCGTTATTTGACGTTGAATACATCGATTTGAGTATTCCCCCAAAACAAGTCCCCTTCCACTAACCATATTTCGCTTTGTATAGGACGTACAACACTTTTCAAAAGACTATTTTCTTTGTTTATAAGCTACATTTTTGTTCATTACAATTTTTTTAATAAAATGGGTAGTTTTTGAGTTATTTGCGAAAAATACTTTGAAAAAGTGTTTTTTTCACTCAAAATTTCAAGTTTTCAATCGTGAATAACTAAAATATTGATTTCTCGAAAAAATTCTTCGAATATTTTTTGAATTTTTGCTCAAAATTTGATTCTCTATTGATTTCCAGCATTATTTTTGAAAAAAAAATTTTCACCCCTGAGAAGGGGTGTCAACCCCAAACAGGGTGGAAGCGTCAATCGGCGCTATGTCACTGATGTTCATTGACCTTTTCTCTAACTATCTGCAAAATTTCAAGTCGATCGGTTCAGTTTCAAAGAATTCGGAGGTGAAAAGCTTCAATGACTACTATAATGAATTTTGCTAATATTCCCAAAAGAGGGTAACTGCATTGAAATTTATTACAAATATGTTTTGAGAGAAACTGACTGGTCTAGTTTGATTAATGTTTGAACAAATTGTAAAGGATATGCTTCAAACCAAGAATGTTTTATTACGATTTTAAGGTTAGGATTTTCTCGCATGCCTACTTTTCAATTTTTACACAGAACATGCTCTTCCTACTCCAAGTGGTACCTACTAGGATTCATTATTCTTATTTTTTAAACATCCNGATATGCACATCTACCTTATTATCTGAGTTTGAGACTTCCTCCATGGCGTCAAAAAAGGCTGCTTCCACGTCACTGTTAGGAACACTTTTGTTTTCGCAACAAATTAGAGAAGAACGATCTTCGGAAACCTTAACATAGGAACAGTATTTTGCACAACTAAAATGGAATACATTGTCGCAGTTTCTGCATTTAATTCCATTTACTAATTTTGATTTACAGCGTTTACATGTGAGAGCGTTTTCACTGCCGTCCGCACCGAACGACATGATATCGAAGTGTGAATAACTAACATAAAGACTGATTTTAAATCTGGTTAGTCTGACTCTGATTAGATCTGCGTAAAATGTCAAATACTAAAAATAAAGTAACCTACCTGACCTCGTTTGTTTTTTTTTTAAAGAAATTTTATTGTTAATTCATAATAAATATTGTTTATCAACCAATTGTGCATTTTAATGAAATATTTGAAGAATGTTCCTACATATACATAAGTATTTATTATAATATTTCGTTTGTTCATAATTTTCGAGATGAAAGAAATAATAAAAAACCATATGATGCGTTTTGAGAAAAAAAAAAGTCACGCGACGGACTCGAGCCAGCGATCTCGTGACTGTCAGTCCCGAACGCTACTAATTAGGCCACGCTCCCAATTGAAGAATGTGTCACATCTAGTGGATTTAGCTGTCAGGTAAAACTTCAAAATCGATTATCTCGGTAATTTATGAACGTTGTGTCGAACTACTTCGAAAAATTCTTATTCAAGGTCCAAACTACACGTACCATAAATATCAAAAATTACAAAAATCCGACTACCTTACCTTCTCCTTGTAAGTATAATCCTGAAACCCCGGGATTAGAAATAGGGGCTAGGATCGAATTCCCTACTGGTGATTCACATATTTTGTTTACATCATATCTACATTTCTGGTTAATTGTTACTTTTAAATTACCGATATCCGATATGAGAATATCAAATATTCCATGTAAAGTTTAATTAAACTAAAAAACACCCAAACAATCAGTTGGCTGTAACTGGTGACTTTCTGTAAAAAATTAAAGTAAATTTTTTGGAATTGTGCATTTTTAGCAGCATGGAGCAAAGATATCTTTTTTAAGGTAATTAAAATGACGCTGCAAAAAACGTATTGTTTTCCTCAATATCTCTGTTTTAATATGAAAACATATTCATATTCAACTACCCCTATACTAAATTTCATTGAAATATTATTAAAAGTGACCGAGTTATCTTAAAAAAATAAATAAATAACAATTTCTTTGTAAATGATAACTGTTTAAGAGTAAAATTGTATAAAGGCAACTTTATCTAAATCGGTTTATTTTGACCCAAGGTGATTTAACATCCTTAAAAACATATATTTCAAAAAAACAACTTGTACATTTCAAATATTTGGTGCTAATAATAATAATATTTATTAATCCTTTGACATGTAAAAATGTATAAGACAGATCAATGTACAGAGACAAATACAATACTTATATTTATACACATATCTCTGATTACAAATTGTCGTTTAAATATTCATCAATGCTGTAATAGCATGAGTAGCAATTCTTTAATTAATTTTTTAAACATTCCCTTATCTTTAGACGTATAGGATGTGTGAAAATTTGATGCCCTGGTACATAGCAGACATTTCAAATTTTGTAGTTTTATGCTTTAGAACACTCAATAAACCGCTATTCCGCGTGGAATATTCATGATAACGAGAGTTTTTACTAAAATGACTAATATTCTCTTTAACATATATTAATATTTTATAGATGTCGATGCAGGGAACCATCAATATTTTGTTTTCCGCAAATAAATTTCTGCATGTTTCACGAGAATTAATGCCAAATATTTTCCTAAAGATCCGTTTCTGGGCCACGAATATTCGATTACTGCTGACTCCACAAAATTACGTTATAAGAAATATGACGGTATACTAAGCTGTATATACATTTAGTAGTGCACACAGCGGCATAGTATTCTTAACACGAGAAATTGCGTAGAACGATTTATTGAGTGTCCTACTGAGGACATCCACATGTTCATGCCACTTTAATTGATAATCAAGATGAAACTTAGTGCTTTCCGAAGAATGTAAAATAAAGTTATTAAGTTATTTCTTTAAGTTTTAATATTAGGGAGTCCATTTTTCAGAATCGGAATCAGTCCTGGTACTTCAGGAACAAAAATTTTAACCCCAGGATTCTGATCCTGAAATATATATAAAAAAAAAAAACAGTAAACAGTTTCTTTGTTAAATAAATATTCTGTTGACTCATTTTTCATGTTTCCAAGTAAGGTTTTCTTCTGTTTTGGGATTAATTCCAAAATTAGGAACCTACAAAATGCCAGTATCCTGGAATTTTAATTCCCAGGAGCCTGAACTTTCTAATATCAACCAAATCAACTCGTTTTTGAAGATTATTTTCGAGAATTTTATCATGGTTCTTTTTTTGTAATTCCCCAGATACCTGCTAGTGCCGTAGAGATGCCTGGCGACTTGAACAGCATCGGATACTTAGACGTGCAATTCGGGGCAATGGACCTCATCGATCCCAACGCATCTTTCGAGGGCAATATAGACGGCAAGTACGGCAATACCCAGTCGAACAACATCGACACGCCTGCCGCTACGCCTGCAAGCAACTTGGATCTCAGTACCTCTAACCAGAATTCGAACCTGGATGCATACTCTCCTAAGAACAATACACAAAGCAGTATTAGCTCTGCGTTGTCACAGAGCGTAAGTTCGTATACGGTTCGGTGCTTGGGGAGAGTACATTTTTTTTTTCCTTTCCAGCTGTCGAACACTGATAGCATTCCACAGCCGACCAGCGAGCATCTGACGGGAAGTTACAACACCGCGCCGAGGAGCACGCAAGTTAGCTCGACGACGGTGCCGGTTTCGGTGGGGTCGTCGGGTCTGGAGCTGTCCAAGCAGCCGGAGAGTCACTCGTACTCGCAGTCGTCCACGTACAATTCCTATCAGTCCAAGCCGAACACTTACAACTCCTCGAGTTACAGTGCCACTCAGGTAAATCTGAATCAGTTAAATTGTTTTTTTTTTTTTTTCATGATATTTATTGAGATTATCCAAGATAATGAAACATTATGGTGTAACATAAATTCTATAGGTGAGAATATTTAAAAATAAGTTTTGTTCATGTAAATTTATCATTTTTTGTTTTTGAGATTTAGTGAGAAGTTACACTTATTATTATTTTTTTAATAGTACAGTCATTGAAGCTGAAAATCAGCTGTAACTTCTGAATTCTTTGAAACTGCGTGGACTTGCATGAAAATTTAGAATAAGGCTCAAGTTCAAAAGTGACATAAGCCTGATCGACGCTTTTTGTTTTGTAGGGGTAAAAACTACCCCTAAGTGAAAAAAATTGAAAAAATTAAGTTTTAACCATTTTATTTATAAAAATCTTGTTCAAGCACAAAGATTAAATAATGTTCCATGTTCTCGAACATGTTTTATGATATATTTGATATTTTCGACCCTTTATTTAACCCTTCAAAACTACCCCTATGCAAAAAATAATGATAAAAAATTACTTTTTATAGATTTGGAATTATTAAATCGTGCAATTATTTAAAATAAAAGTTACCTTATAGCTAATAAAAGAATTTTTCCCTCTTAACCCCTAAAAACCACCCCTGGATTGACGAAAATGATAAAAAATTACTTTTTAAAAGCTTGGAATGCTTTAACGGTGCAATTATTTAAAATAAAAATTCCCTCATTGCTTATGAAAGAATTTGTATCTCATAACACTTTTCAACCCTTATAAATCACCCCTGTGCTAAAAATATGATAAAAAAATACATTTTAAATCTTGGAATGCTATAATTGTGCAATAATTTAAAATAAAAATTCCCTTATATTGTTTATGAAAGAATATTTTACTTTTGCCATTTTCAACTCTTATAAACTACCCTTTTACCAATATTAATGTAAAATATTTTTATTATAATCGATTTTTAAATATAATCA